ATTCTATTCATATCCCAGCATTTCATTAGCAAACGTCAATATAATGAGCGACGGCAAAGTAGAGCGTTTTCTATTTAGGTCCTTATACCTCTTATCGTATATCTTATCTTTATATATTTACTCTAACCTAGGCAGTTACTTAGCACTTATCTACTTACAGCAGCACCCTAAGTTTCGGTAGTAAGTATGATTAGATACTAAGAGTCGCAAATTATCCATTAACGCAAGTTCCGCTTATTTACGGAACTCCTTAATCTTAGCTTATACCTCAGCAGCAGCAATATCAGAGACCAAAAGCTACGGACTGTAGTTTTTATTTACCACGCTTTATTTTTCAATCCCTATTACAACATTATGTAAATAAACTCAGGACAGCTTAAGTAGCAAACAAAACTTAAGGTTACTATAGTTAACAATACTATTAAAGTTCTTGCGGCAGCTGCATCCAATACAGTCATTAAAATAATTATCTATAACTGCATCTAATTTATAATTATATAAAAACGTAGATACAGTGGCCTCTTATATCTATTCTTTCTTCTCTTTTTTACAAAAAGACATAATTAGATTAACTAGCAATTAAGAAAGGTAAAGGTTTTCGCTAGCAAGGCAAGCAAATATAATACAAATTGCTACGCCCGGTCGCTCGTTTCAGCCAACAAGGTGTCTATCAGTAATGCTTTACAGTACATATATTATTTCAGACTAGAGAATAGCTTAGTCAGACACGCGCGTAGAGTAAACTTTCAGCGCATAAATCACCACAAGGTATATCGCTAGTAGCTAACAGTAAACCTTCTATAAGCTAGCCGCAACCTGCATCGCACTACTAAAGATCTCTATAGCGTAACCTTAGATCACCACGATCATATAATGCTTATAAGTTTCTAAGATTAAAACTGCATTTCATTACAGTCCTGCCCAAAATCAGAGGCCGCCCCAGCTTTCTATATAAAGGTTCTAAGCACGGCCCGGGCTGTGGCGAATGTAGCTTAGACAGTGCACGGAACACCATAACTAAACTGTAATAATAACCCCACATCCTCATAGTTACCTAACACTTTCGCATACTGTTATAAGATATAGCCGCTTCTGGCAGCAAGAAGGTCAACACGTATCAATACAAACTTTACACAGCGCGTCTTAAGCGAGCGAACCATGATTCTCACATAAGTTTTAGTCGACAAGATGTACACAATCTGCTTCACACTTGCTTATGTACTGTATCATCGTATACTGTACAGTGAGGTGCGGGTGCAGCGTCAGTAATCTATTATTGTAATTTTATTGAAAATAGCTAAAACTGGACTAGTTGTGGCGTGTGCACAGTGTACCATAAGCCTCATTACAACCTCTGCCATTTCCCAGCACTAACAGCGCACGAATCATGCCGAAGATATCCGGCGACGTAACCCACTTTCTGGTCAGTTGCCCCTAATACGTGCAAGATTTGCTGGACAATTAATTTAGTATTTGGTTGTAGCCGAACGTTATACTTACAGCATCAAGCTTACGCGACGGCAGGATATATAATAAGCCACTAGAAAGTTTAGGATAGAATATATTACAGGACAGAAGCAAGCACTGCAACACAGGTAAGAGAGATGTAAATTCTTAAAGAGTGACAAGAATTAATTAACGCCCTAAACTTAGGGGGTTCTTCTTTTATGGAACCTTAGACAACTGCGCCACGGTTTCTGGTCTTCCTTTAATTCGCTAACTACTTGCGTATGTACATAACTGGTAAAGATTGGACTGATTCTGCAAGAGATGGTATTTATTATAATGCCTCCTGTGTAGAAGCGAGATACTCCATACTTTGGATTGTATTAGGATGGTATCCCCCTAGGATTTATTGGCGAAGGTTTAAAGCGTTTTGATAGAGATTCTTAGCCTCCTTATATCGGCCCTGCGTATAGTATGTTATTGCAAGATCTGCTATGCTGCTAATTGTATCAGGATGCTTCTCCCTAAGTACCTCTTATCGGAGTTCCAGTACTTTTACTAAGATCCCTTTATCCTTATTATACTAGCCCTGTGTATGATATGTTGATGCAAGTGATGCTATATACCTGATAGAATCTAGATGCCTATTTCTAAGTAACTCCTGTTTAAGTTCTAGTACTTAGTCCTTTAGCCTCTTGGCCTTGTTATACTGGCCCTGTATATAGTATGTTAATGCAAGGTCTGCTATGCTGTTAATTGTATTGGGGTGCTTCTTTCTAAGTACCTCTTGCCAGAGCTTTAGTGCTTTATCTCTTAGCTTCTTAGCCTCTTTATATTAGCCCTGCATATAGTGCGTTAACGCAAGGGACGCTATACTGCTAATTATATTTAGATACTTTTCCCTAAGTACCTTTTATTAGAGTTCTAGTGCTTTATCTTTTAGTTTCTTAGCCAGATTATATTGGCCTAGCGTATGGTACGTCACCGCGAGGTTTGCCATGCTGCTAACCGTATCTGGATGCTTCTCCCTAAGCACCTCTTATTAAACTTCTAGCACTTTAACTAATATTTCTTTATCCTTATTATATTGGCCTAGCGCATAGTACATTATTGCAAGGTTTGCCATGCTGCTAATTGTATTAGGATGCTTCTTCCTAAGGGCCTTTTATTAGAGTGCTAGTACTTTAACTGAGATCTCTTTGTCCTTATTATATTAGCCTAGCGCATAGTACATTGCCGCAAGGTCTGCCATGCTGCTGATTGTATTAGGATGCTTCTCCCTAAGGGCCTCTTATTAAAGTACTAGTACTTTAACCAAGATCTCTTTATCCTTATTATATTAGCCCTGTGTATGGTATGTTGCCGCGAGGTCTGCCATACTGCTAATTATATCTAGATGCTTCTTTCTAAGCACCTTTTGTTAGAGTTTTAGTGCTTTGTCTTTTAGTTTCTTAGCCTCTTTATATTAGCCCTAATTATAGTATATTGCCACGAGGTTTGCTATGCTTTAGATTATATTAAGATGCTTTTCCCTAAGTATCTGTTATTAGAGTTTTAGTACTTTAATTATAAACTCTTAACCTTCCTTATATTAGCCCTGTATATAGTATATTGCCCTGATGTTTTCTGTACTTTTAATTATGTCTGGATGCTTTTCCCTAAGTACCTCCTGTCTGAGTTTTAGTACTTTTTAGTAAATGTTCTTAGCCTTATTATATTAGCCCTGTTTATAGTATATTATCCCAAGGTCTGCCATGCTCCTAATTATATCAGGATGCTTCTTTCCAAGCACCTTTCTTTAGAGACTTAATACCTTATTCTTTACTTTCTTAGCATTATAGTACTGCCCCTACTTATAGTACGTATCTGCAAGATCTAATATACTTTTAGCAGTATCTTAATAATTCTTTTTAAAAACCTTTTATTAGAGTTCTAACGCTTTAAGCCTTATTAGCTTAGCCTTGCTATATTTGCCTTGCTTTTAGTATATTGTTACAAGGTCTGCTATGCTGCTAATTGTATTTGGATACTTCTTTCCAAGTATAGCTTGTCTAAGGCCCTAAGCCTAACTGTCTATATGCTTCTTCTCTCTTTATTGCCCTTATTGATATATAAACCGGGATACCCTGGCAAGTAAATTAGCTATTTCCGTCTCTGTCCCCCCTACCTTTGCCTACTCCCTTACTTAAATGGCATACATTAGGTATTCCTTGTATTTTGCCTATGTAGCAGGTTCCAATATTGGGAAAAGGTTATTTACTACCTGCAGTACCCTGCTGTAATAGTATCCCTTATTTTCCTTTAGCCTCTTACCTACCCTTAATATATTGTTAATTATTGCTATTATATAATTTCTTACGCTTAGTCTATATTACATAGCCTCCTGTACAAGCTTATATATCTTATACCTTTGTCTACTATTATCTGTCTTACGTACAACCAGGAAGGAAAACTCTTTAAGTTAAGTAATAGTTCCTAGGACCTCAAGCTCTGAGGGCTGTCTAGTTGAAACCCCTTTGTCCGTGTTGTATTAATTAGCAGCGGCTGCTATTACTAACTCTTGCAATATATCTTAATTGTCTATATATGTAATTATATATAGTATTTAGTATAATATCTTGCTTTTTACTTAAATACGCTTTATTAAGATTCTCTATATTTTAAGTATACTGTTTAATACCTCTGGTTATTAGTGCTAGTTAGTACTGCCTGCTTTTAGTATTTCCTACTGTGTCTTGCCCTGTTTAAGGAGGCCTAGGTACTGCTATGCTATTATTAATATATGCTATATATAGGCACTGGCTTGTAAAATTGCTAGTAGGAGGCATTGCAGTTTTTGTAAGAGAGTGTTAAATCCTGCTTCTTTTAGGACCTTATGTGTAGATAATAGGTTATCTTTACTATAGGCTAGAAGTAACGCTGCCTTATTTATAGTTATAGACTGTACTTTAATACCGCGACGCAGTTTAATAAGAGTCCCTGTAATATATATATCTTAACTTATTTATAGTATTGTCCTAGTTAATACATAAGGAATAAACTTATATAAATTGTCGCTTGCCTTTCCTCCCCTTGCTTATTTGCCTACCCTGAACAGGTACAGGTTATTAGCATTATTAAAAATTATAACTTATATTAATTGCCCTTTAATACTATAGCGCACTGCGTTAAGCAGGTCTATCCTATTAAGCTGCTTATTAACCCTAAGCTTTTTACTAATTATTTTATAATTAGCTAAGAAAGTTACTTTACTATTAATATATACCTAAAATATATAGTACTTATTATTAGTATTATATTATTAGTATATATAGTTTAGTACTATTTATATTTTACTTTTAGTTTATTAGCCTTTTATAATATAATAATATAGTAAAAGTGGAGACTTACCTTGATTCTCTAAGGCCCTAGAGCGCGGCGCTATAGGATCCTGCTGCTAGTAGTAAAAGCTTATTTAGCCTGTTGATGAGATCCTGTCGATAGACCAGATCCTCGTTGCGGGGATAGGGAATGACGCGGACCGGAGATCGGTTGGATCGATGGGGCAAGTGGTAATGGATATCGCCCAGATTAATCCTGGTATTGTCGCCAAATCCGCTGTGAGTAACGTCGCGTCGATGCAACGCTGGCTCATCCATTTTGTTGCTAATCATTTGCAGCGCTAATCTGCTGAAACCGCCAAATTTGTACAGTCTCTTGTTCGGAGAGGGGTCGCAATAAGGGAAAGAAGGTCACGAGACTCAGCCTCACTGATTGGTCAAAGACAGAGTTCACTGCCAACGCTCAGCCATAGGCATACTTCCACCTACCACCAACCAACTACAGACTACAACAATGGTACTCCCCTCTTGGCCTAGCTCTCGTATAAGCTTCATTTATTGATGTTATGGCGCAGGCAGAGGCAATAGGAGTAGCGGCCAGCATTATTAGCATTATCGGCGCGGTATTTACTGTCATCCAGGAGATCCAAAATGCGCGTAGCAGGGTTTGGGGCACATCCGAGACGCTGGATAATATGTCCAAGCACCTGGATGCGATCGATGAGTCACTTAGCCTCGTTCGTGAGGAAGAAAGGTTGCAAACGGCCAGAGTCGAACTGCAAGTGAAGGCCATCACCGACCTTGCCACTAAGCTTAGATCTTTCCTGGATAACCTTTCTGCCAAGCAACGAGAGAAGGCCATGTCACAGTTCTTTCACACGCTTAAATCGGGCGATAAGGACGACCAAAAGTTGCAAGGCATCCTGGACCAGCTTGACCGGGCTCGTAATGAGCTCGGATTCCGGATCTCGGTCGCTTAAGTCGGCTTGCTGGGAAACCTCCAAGACGGCTTTCGAGTTGCATTCGGCGTTCTCAAGCAGACAAACACTAGAGTTAACAAAGTGCTTGGGATCAACTTGGCTCTTATAGATATTGTAAAGAACCGAGCGCTGCAGCCAACAGGTCAGACACGTATATTAATAGTCGCACGAAAAGAGACATACTGACGAGGTTTTATAGTAGATGGAACCGTGCCGGTCAACACTTCTGATGTGCTAGCGATGGGAGTGTCCGCTCCCGATGATGCGACGAGCATGAACAGCTCCAATAAGGCGAGGGAAACAAATATTGGTGGTAATGTGACGCTTGGACAGGCCAGAATAATGACAGGCAATATTGGGGTGGAAGGCTGGCACAAGATGACAGGTCGCAAAACGACAATTGCTAACAACCAATTCGGCCATGACGTCCGAATCATCACTGGCGACATGGGAGGGGAGGCGGCGAGGGGCTTTAACGATTCCTTCTAGAAGTAAGATCATAACAGTGACCTACTGCAGTTAACCGGAGGCCATCATAACGGGGGCTAGGCACGTTATCACTAGACATTTCCATCCAGAACTATTAACATCGATTGCCTGACCTTTTTACACATCTTTCTCCATTGCAGTGCTGTAGAAGACTACTGTCTCTGCAAAGCATAAAAGTGCCATAGTAAATTCTCCCAGAAAGGGATTCTTCAGCAGTGCCCTTGAAGGCTTAAGATGATTTCGGTAAGTCCCCACTCTTGAAATAGCAGTGTAGCTGTAAAATCACCTAAGCAGGTGCTAACAAACTAACGATGCAGGCAGGTCAAAGTCACTCGACTGACCGTAGTGTTACAGGGCAAGGTAATGTGGGAGGAACATGACATTTTGGCCTATGTAAAGCGTCTGATTTGACAGTTCCCTGAAACCCGTTGTTAACTGTACATTCCGATTAAAATATAGCTTCGTCAAGAAGATACGCTATTCCTTTCATGCAGTGATTATGTAGGGCTGAATGTGGCTGAAGAAGGATATGTGGCTGGTTAAAGTGGTTTGGTTTAGGTCTATTATCCTGTTATCCTGTAATTATGTTATCCTGTCAGCCTAGCTGGCACCTTGCCCTGCCTTTATGAGGAATATTTAGCCTTATACCTTAGGCTTACATACTTACCCAAGCCTGTGTAGTTCGGGACCGCCCACTTATTTGCTTTTCCACTTTTCCTTCTTCTGTTACGTTCCTAACATCCAGAGCCGCATGCTGGCTTAATACTTAGTGTAGTTTAAAATGGCCCCTTGACTAACTTTAGAGAAGAAGGACCAAATCCGGACTATGCTTTTTAAAGGCCAATCGATTAGTGAGATTGCCAAGGCCATTCCTTGCAGCGAACGTGCCGTCTATTAAACCCAAGTAACCATACAACGGTTCAGTACCGCAACCGCTCTAACTAACCGTGCCGGCCCTAATCCTAAAATTACCCCTCTTATGCAAGATATACTCTATAGAGAGCTAGTTAAGGAGCCAGATATACTAAGACATAAGATAGTCGCTTTCCTCTAAAGGCGCTTTAACGTAAATATGTTGCCTATACGTATTATATAAACCTTATAAACCTTGCAGTAGACCCGTAAGAATACGCACTACATAGCAAGATAGCAAAACCTGCAGCTGCAGTATTACTACTATTACAGACTGAAGTTAGGCGGGTATCGATTGTATTATCTAATCTTTCTTAATAAATCTGGCTTAGATAGAAGTATCAGAGTCTGACGAAAGGGCTGGGCTCCTAAGGGTGTCACTCCTATGCAGATTGCTTGCTTTTAATAAGAGGAGCGGTTCTAGGTCCTGGATACATACACGCAGAGGGGCATTAAGCTTTCGCAGGTCTATTGCAGGTTGACTGACACTGCGACGTTTGTTGACTTTATTACGTAGCTATTGTGTTACTGTGGGAGATAGCTAGAGCCTGAGTCTATGCTGGTCATAAATAACGCTAGTATTTACTGTTTAGATAAGATTAAGTAAATATATAATAAGGCTAGCGTAAAACTGGAAATAACAGTACCCTATATGCCTGACACTAACCTGATTGAAGAGTACTTTGCTAAGATAAAGGCTTATGTAAAACTGCAGTAAGATGAACATATTAGTCTTATCCGGAGAGATTTCGGTTCCTATATTAGGTTATGCATGTAAGCTATTAGCTAACGGCAGACCAGTGCTAAGGGATACTTTTATAATGCAGGACTGACAGTTAAGCAACCTCCGTAAAGACACAAGGCACCGGATTTTATAGTACTTTTATACCACACTAGAGATTGTTTGTAGTTAAAGCTAGAGCGAAAGAAATAAGGTGTAAGGCATAAAGCATGGGAAATAAAGCAAAACAGGATTATTATTCTGCTATTCTAGAGCTTCCTTAATCTAACGTAGCATATTATTAATAAATAAAAGCGTAACCCCTAATTGGACTCCTCTGTTAGTGTAAAACTCTGTACCTACTTTACTGTAGACATGCCTTAAATCGAGGCATGCCTCTTGTGTAATTTCGTAAGCACATTGAATGTTTTGCTGCTAATAAGGGCTATTTACTTAATCCTGCTGCTATTCGTGGTATCTTTCTAGAGCCTAGTTTCTCCGCATAGGGATGATAAGGTCGATCGGTTATTGCCAAAACGCTACCAACCTCTGCGCTTCTCCCCGCGCTTTAGCATTAAACTCGTTAAAAATCTCACCCTGATGCTAACTAGGATGACCAGGACAGGTGACGTTAATATTAATTGGAGATAAACTGTTAGATCTCTTACGCTTTAGCCTTTTTCATTCCGAGCTCTCCTTTTTATTCTTGTAGATTACCTGGCGAATATTTTTAAGAATATTATTGTGTATCCTTAGCAGATTTCCTTTCTTAGTAAAGTTAATAAGCATACTTAGTATATTAGTATTGAGCTTGTAGTGCTTCTTCCTCTCTGGATCATGCTAGCAATAGAATTGCAAGTTTATGCAAGGGATACTAGTGCAGTGCAGAAGCTTGTAAACTTCTTTCTACACGGGACAAGAGCCCGTCGACTCTTCCTGATCAGCAAGCAGCTGGTCTCTAGCAAGCAGCTGGTCTCTAGCAATGAGCTGTTGGCCTGTAGCCCCACGACTGCGACTCCGGGTAGTTGCAGCTACTGGCTGGATGACCTCTTTATAAATAAAAGAGATATAAATTCTTAGCTTATTACCTTTACGGAAGAAAGGAGCCTAACCTCTTAGCTTATCTTCTATCGTTTTTCAGTTAACGACAAGACTATTAAATTGCTTTCTTATATTATGTTCGCTATGGTTCTCTACGCTCACAATAACGGTTATCTTATCAGACTTATACCTCGGCTTGGGAAGTTTGTCCTTAACGGTCGCTGCTAAATTAACACTGAGATACTTGTCTTAGTAGGCGCTAGGGGCCAGGGTTAGGTTCTTTTCCGTAATCTTAACCAACTTGGATAGTCTGCCCTTCTTGAGCTAAAGCTTTTATTCGATATTATAGTAAATATACGTTAGATTATTATCGTCGTCTTGAAAGTTAGGATCCTAATCGCCTAGCCTAAGTAATAGCAGGCGTCTGTCTTGGAAAGGGGTGCTGTAAGCGCGCGGAGTTTCGCCAGGCGAGAAGGAACCTTAATAAGGCAAACTTATGGTGACGGCTGGAAGCGAGAAGGTGAGGAAGGACACCGGGCAAGACGATGGGCAAGCAGTAGGTAGGCAGGCCATTGCTAACAAAGAACAAAGGACATATTTCCTTTACGGCTGCCTAGAACACGTAACCAGAAGCTCATCAGCAGGATAGAATGTTCAGGTCTTGACTCAGGGCGACGGTGTATTAAACATTTGGGGGAACCCAACGGTGTGGCAAAAGTATTAAAATTGCTTTATTATTAGTATAAGCTGAAGACCCTAATACTGTAGACAAGATACAGTTATCCGGTTTGAAGCTAAGGCGAATAAAATCGTAAATAATGCGTTGAGGTAGGATTACGTGAGCAGCTAAAGTAAGGAATATTGGCCTTTTAGCTTTCTGTGCTGTGTAATTACAACTAATGTTAAACTGCCCTTAGAAAGATCTGTGGACTAATTACAATTAAATTAATATCAGTATGCTAGCACATTTACCGTATAAGCAACGAGAGATCAGCTATAACTAATTTTGCGACTATACTGTTATTTACTAGGGAAACGTTTAAGGGAATGTTTACTATGGCGTGCCCTACCTGCTGACCTGCGCTAAAGTCGTTTGCGTTATTCTATATCCCTGTAATAAGGATCTGGTCTATTAATAGGATCTTATTAACAGGCTAGATAAGCTTTTGCTACTGACAGCAGGATCCCATAGTGCCGCGCTTTAGGGCCTAGGAGGATCAGGGTAAGTCTCTACTCTTGGCATACTATAGTATTATAAGAGGCTAATAAATAAAAGTAAAATATAAATTATACTAAACTATATATACTAATAATATAATACTAATAATAAGTGCTATATATTTTAGGTATATACTAATAGTAAAGCAATATTTCTAGCTAATTATAAGATAATTAGTAAGAAGCTTAGGGTTAATAAGTGGCTTGACAGGACGGATTTGCTGGATGCAGTACGTAATAAGATCGAAGCTTAATCGAGATAGGTAATAATCCTTGACAATACTAACAACCTAAGGCTATTTGGAGTGGGTTAAATAAAAGGGGATGGGATGAATAAGAATCTATATAAATATATTCCTTATGCGTTGTAAGGGACAGTGCTATAGATAAGCCAAGATGTGCACATTGTAGGCACGCTTGTTAGAGCGCGTTATAGTATTGAGGTGCGGTCTATAGCTGTAGGTAAGGTAATAATACTTCTTGTAAGGATCTGAGATAAGCTATTAACTGTAAAAAAGGCAGTAAAGGAGGCAGGAGTGGATACTCTTTTGCAAGAGCTATAGTGCCTCTTACTAGCAATTTTATAAGCCGGCGTATATATGCAGCGGATGTTAATAAT